GGCAGATCCCAGGCCAGATGCGGACAGACCATGAAAGGTACAACCTCTGTTGACTCTGTTATTCCACCTCTGTTGACTCTGCCAGGTGTCCACCCAAACACGCCTGGAAATGCCAGCCCAGCCAGAAGCCACGCCAGTCTCCAGGAAGGGTGCACTTGCTGAATCAGATGTGTCCTATTCACTGCCCCTCTGTCTCTAAACCCTGTTTCTGCCCTGAAAGAGGCTCTGCCTAGCAGAGAATTCTCTTTTTCTCTCTCTAAGGAGCATGCCCCATTGCCTCTATCAGGGACAGGTCTCAGAGTATAAGAGGCCCTGCCAGTCCTCGGAACTGTGGCCTGGGGCCTTGACCAGGTTCATATGACAATGCCAGTCCAGAAGAGATGGTGTTGCTCTAGGGCCCACAGTCATCCATCACCTGCAAAGGTGACTAATGGGTGCTAGAACTCTCTCAGGAATGCCCCCTAGGCCCAGAGTCCTCGCTTATTGGCTAGAATTGCTGGGCTGTTTAACCATCCAGCACACAGCTAGGCTCAAGAACAGTCCTGACACAAGAAACTCTCTGAGAGCCACAACCAAATGCCAACGACCATAGCTGCCTGCTCGAGACTTGTCTATAAAACAGGAGTGAAGATTCCTAACCTATACAGATGCTATGAGAATAAAGACAACAAAGATCAAGTCAAGTGGCCAATACCAATCACACTTTGGTGAATCCTACTGTTGTGTGTGAGCAGTGTGCGTTCCTGTGCGATGCAGGCACACTGGTGTCACGGCATATGCGTGACGGTCAGAGGACAGCGCTGGTGTCAGTCCTAGCCTTCCAGCCTGTTAGAGACAAGGTTAGCTTCTGGTAGCCCTTCTGTCTCCACCTCCCACCTCACCACAGCAGCTCTGACCCTGCAAACACATTCAGCTTTAGTGGGTTGTGGGAATGCGAACTCAGGTCCTCAGACCTCTGGGGCAAGTGCTTCGCCCTGAGCCATCTCTCCTCTGCCCATTTTATTGTTTTTTGAGTCAGGGTCTCCAGTAGCCAGGAATGGCCTCAAATTCATTATGTAGCTGAGGCTGGCTTTGAACTCCTGATGTTCCTCCCTCCACTTCCCAAGTACTAGAACCATAGGTTTACATCATATGGCCAGCTTCACAGAGGTAGTTATTGTCATTACTGCTATCACAGCCACAGACATACACCAGGCCCCTGAGTCCTTCAGGATGAGCTACCCCATCTCTTCCCAGTCAATACCTACTCTGTCCGGCTGTACATCTAGGTCCCTGCAACTGTTAGGCCTCCTGAGTGCTCTCCTTTCTGCCAAGACCCCACCACCACTGGAATCCAAAGCAGCAAACACAGCTCAGCTTCACCTAGGTCTGGCTCATTCTATGCTCCTTTCCCTGTGCTTGACCAGAAACTGATTCATAGATCCACACACCAAGAGTTCCAGTCCCTGCTGCCCCACTCTGTCACCCCCAGGTCAGGGTCTCTTTATAAGCAAATATTCCAGGGTTTTCCTGGGAAGGTGAATGCCCAAAGTTACAAAGGATACTTTGGGAAGTATCTTTCCCAGGACTGTGGAAAAGCTGAGAAGGAGCATGGGGCTGGCAGCTGGAGGACTAGTCAGAACTGGAGGACATAGGAGGGTCTCCTCTCCAGGACTGGAAAGCACCATGACAAAGACCAGGACTCTGGCAGCACAAGGGTGTTCTGTCAGGGACCACAAGTCTCTGTGGTCAGGCCTGTCCTCTTCCTGGCACACCAGATGAGTTCCTCTGCCCAAGGGCACCCTTGGCACATTTGCCAAGGTCTAAACTGAGAGGTCAAACCTAAAGCTGCCTCTGGAGTGGCAGAAAGAGCCAGTGGTGAAGGCAGACAATAGATTGACCTCATGACCTCACTGTTTGCCCATTCTGTGTCTCTGGGTATGTGACCTGCCCTTGATAGACTTGGGTTTCTCCTTCTCTTCAGTGATGTTAAGACAATTACACGAGACAACGTTCATCTAGCATAACCCCATCGCAAGTCCTGAAAATCCAGTGTTTCCACCCTGAATACTGCAGGAACAGCTGACTGATCTCCAGGTGATGGAAAAGCCTGTGCAACAGTATATACAGCTCTCTCCCAATGTATGGTCCACAGTGAGCCCCTCTCTCTAAGGAAGGCCTTCCCCTTCGCTGGCAGATTTCCCTGCCACTCGTGCCTCAGGGTGTGGGAAAAAGCACATCAATAAGAAGTCTCCACCCACTCAAAGGACAAGCTTTTGGGCAGTGACATCATCCTCCTTGCCCCTCTTCCTTCTTTCCCAACCCTATGACTCAGATCCACAGCTCAATAGCCCCATGTGGTCATAATCTCAGAGGATTTGGGTTGTTTTCTGCACATAGCCCAACCCAGAAGCATCTGGCTATAGGTCAGATACTCACTCAACACTTTCTAGGAGTCTTTCTGAGGATACAGAAAGCCAACTCATAGCCCTGGGATCACACTGCTTCCCAAACTGCATTTCTCACCTGGTGTCTAACCCAAATCCCACCAAAAAGAGCGAAGGCTTCCTCCTAGAGGTCAGCATGGTAGGAGGGTGGCTCCTGAAGAAAGCTCCAAGAGTGACCCCTCCAGAATAAGGATGCTGGCTCCCCAGGGGACTGCTCTGAAAGGCCACCACTTCTATAATGTTCCACAGATAAACATTAAAGCATCCAGCCCAGCTGCCAGGCACCCAGCCGCCAGGCATCTGAGCATCTTGAATATTCAACCACCCCGTCCCCATCAGGTGCCTGGACAGAGCTGAAGGGGGACAGGGATGGGAAAGAAAACCGGGTCCAAAATCCCAGCTCTCCTCTGAAAACAGGCTTCTTCTCTCACAAGATGCAGGGCCTGCCCTCTTACAGCACTAGTCTGGAGTGCATGTGCAGTGCTCTGCAAGCAGGAAGAAAGAAGCCACCATGGACGCCAGGACAGCGCAGAACTCTGCAGACCAGTCATGGGACCATTGGAGTCACCACGGGGTTACTCTGCACGGGCAAACACTCTCTCTCTTTACTGTTTCTTTGCCTCCTGACACATTGGTAGCAAAACTGATGTTCAAGGGCTAACCTCAAGTGATGATGTAAAGAAAACTTCTTTTTTCCTTTCGACAGAGCCTCGCGTATCCCAGGAGAGCTTCGAACTATGTAGCCCTAGGATGACTTCTGACGCTCCTGCTTCTTCCCCCAGCGCTGAGATTACAGGCCTGAGCCACTACAACCAGCTTGTGCTTTGCTGGTTGCTGGGGTCTAACTCAGGCTTCACGCATGCTGGGCGAGCACTCTGCTAACAGAGCCGTAGCCCCAGCCACATGATGAAAATTTCAGTGACATCAGCTGACTGTGATGTATTTGTAATGGCGGGGGGGAACCACATGTCCACAGGCCACAATTGGCCAAGATTCATCGCTGACACTCGAGAACTCCAGCTACCAGGAAAATGCACACATCCAAAAGATTCTCACCCCCTAGCAAGGCGGAAATACAGACCACCAGCCATACCCCTGAGCCCCCTAGCCCTCCACAGTAGCCTGCCATCCAATCAGCCCAGTCCGTAAGGCAAGTTTACGTTTCAATTTCAAGTACACACTTGAGATTCACCTATTTGCAGGTCCCCAAACTACTCAGAATGCTGTTGCTCAACAGAAGGAGTCCTGGGAGTTTCTGAGAGGTCAGAGGAATGAGAAAGGAGACCCGATTAAATAAATAACTCTTGTACAGTTCAAAGAGCTTCATTAGTGTCTCCAACTGAAAGTAGCTACTACACACACTTAAAAGGACTTGATTGAGCCTGGCATAGTGGTGCATGCCTTTATCCCAGTACTTGAGAGAGAGAGGCAAGTGGATTTATGTGAGTTCAAGGCCGACCAAATCTATACAGTGAGACCCTAAATCTTAAATAAATAAATAAATAAATAAATAAATAAATAAATAAATAAATAAGGATTTCATTTAATCAATACTCATTTGCAGATCATCTGCAATCAGTTTGAAGGAAAACAGTTTCTCACAACTAATCAGGTGTCTTCCCAACACACACACAAAAACCCCAAACACACACATACGAACTTCTGATTTACTGTTTAGTATTTCCCTTCAATGATAAGCTCTCAGGTCTGAGTCATCCATCATGCATTTCTCATTAGGGCAGGTTTGGCTCACAAATAAAACCCTCTTTCTGCCAATTCACTGCCTTAAGCTCCCAAATCTGCAATTGGGTGGCTGGGCTCTGGTGAAGAAGGGCCCTGGGCAACTGGATTCAATCTTTTATCTTCTGTGTTCCACCCTGGGCCTCCAGCTTCTCGCCACCTTCCTCTGGATCTCTTCTCTATCCACCTCCATTTAGCTAAGACACCCCAAACTCCCCTTCCCTACTTCCTCTTCCGTCTTTGACTTTGGGGGGCAGTCTTTAAAGTTCTTCCCAGATCCTGTTCCCCACCCCGTGCTCTTCTGCAGCTTGTAGAAGTCGCCCTGTCGTCCACTCCTTCATCCTTCAGAGCCGGGAACAGGGACCACCTCACCTCGCGCTCCCTTCCCCCGTAGCTTCCCCCCTCCGAGCTGGCATCCACGGTGTTTTCCTCCTCCAAGTCGGGAGAATGTTTCCCTCCCAGTCTTGGATAGCGGCTTCCTTAAGCTTGAAGAAGAACCTACCTGCCTGCATGCCCACTTCACACCCAAGGCCTGAACAGTCAGTCACCCACCCAGCTTCCGGTCCCCCAAGTCCGACCCTCGGCGAGTCTTCAGATCCAACAAATCTCAGGGAGTCTCAGCCCCCAAGGGGGGAGCGGCCAAGCAGGGGTTCTCTCAGCTCCTCCCCGCCCTAGAGCCCTAGCGGGGGGGGGGGGGGGGGGGGGGGTGCCCTGCAGGGAAAGGCCGCGGATTCCAAGCTGCATGCACCCAGTGCCCGAGCGCGCGCGGTCCAGGCGTGGCCGCACACAAAGGCGGCCGCAGCCCGCGCCGCCCCGCGCCACGCAAGCACTCACCGCGCCGCGCCGACTCCCGGGACTCGGGGACGCAGCGGGGCGCAGCCCAGTCGCCGCCACCGCCGGTGCCGCCGCCGCGAAGCCCGGCCACACTGGGGCCGGGGGCGGGAGTGCGAGGGGAGGGACGGCCGGAGGAAGCTGCGGGTCCGGAAAGGCCACCGGGTGCGCCCCAGACGCAGGATTGGCCCCGCGGCGGAGATCCGAGGACGAGGCCTGAGCCCGCCTGCTGGGCAGGGCCGCGGGCCTGGACCCGCCCCCGACCCGGACCCTAGCTCGACCCCGGTGGGGGAAGACCCGGGACTCCGAGGAGAGGGTGTTGGGCTACCCGCTGCCCTTCCCCCTACACGGATCCTCGCCCTTGCAACAGCCGAAGTTTCTCTTTCGGTGAGAAAGGACAGGTGACTGGCCACTGACCACTCCCACCCCGCTGGCTCCAAGCCCTGCTGCAATCCAGCTGTCCTATCTCAGTCCTGAATTTCGCCCCTTTGACACCAGGCCGGCACCGCGGCTCGGAAAGGGTTAACTCGACACCGAAGAATTCCGAGTTGCTGGGAGCTCTCTATAAATACAGTGTCGTGGGCGCCTGAGCCAACCGCAGGGCAATTTCCACTGAGATGGTTTTCCTCTTTTTCTTACACCCATAGCAACCGGACTAAACCTGCCTCCAGCCCCGTGCCAGCTGTTGGCCAGCACAGGTTCCAAATGGAAGAGTAAGCCTGGCTGCCCCGCCACCACCCTTTGCCACCCTTGCCGCCTATCTATTCCCACCCACTTGGACTCTGTCCTTAAAACATCTAGCTCCAGCCTGCGGCAAGAGGAGGGCAGGGGGTGTTTAAGTCTGTCTGGAATTTGCCAACGTCACTACACCTATGCTTGGATCTGTCCGTCACACGGGAAACAGCAGCAGCGTCGAGGGCCTTCCGTGAGTTCAGAACTAGGCAGATGCTCTCCAAGCCAGCCTCTGTAGATCTTCCCAAGGATCCCACCAGGAAGATAGTAGTTTTTCTTTTTGCAGATGGAGAAACCGAGACTCAGGGGACGAAGGAACGCTGACCTTGTGCTGCCGCCAGACTTAGCACCAAGGGACAGCAGCTATCAGAGAGGGCTTAGGAAATAAGCGTGAATCCGTGTGGGTCTCTGCTTGTGTCGGCTACTATTTTAAGCTCTTCACAATTTATCACTTTTAATCATCAGAATTCAGTGAAGTGAATGCTGTTATCCTCATCTTTGCAGATAAGGTGATTCAGACACAAAGAGATTTTAAAGTAACTCACTTGAGGATACCCACCCGGTGTGGGAAGAGCCAGAATGACTATGTCCTTGAATTTATGTGCTGAGGTCAAACATAGCTGCCGAATATGTTTGGCATTAAAAAAAAAAAATGTGTATGCATGTTCCTGCCAATGTGCCCAGCTCTCATGTGGAGGTCAGAGGATAACCTAGGGTATGAGTCCTTGACTTCCATCTGCCATAAAGCAGGGTGTCTCTTTCTTTCTTTCTTTCTTTCTTTCTTTCTTTCTTTCTTTCTTTCTTTCTTTCTTTCTTTCCTTCCTTCCTTCCTTCCTTCCTTCCTTCCTTCCTTCCTTCCTTCCTTCTTTTCTTCCTTCTTTCTTTCTGCTTTGTGCACCAGGCTTACTGGTCCATGAAACCCATCAGTCATGATAGGTGTAAAGGAACATTTTATCCTGGGGAGGCTTTTCTTGTCCTTGCTCAAGGGCTCAGTCCAAGAGGGAAGAAAATAATGAGCATCGATTGCTAGTTCAAGGAGCGCTGACAGCCCCAGGAAAGGGAAGCAGCTTGAACATGTGTGTCTGAAGGACCATTGCAAGAGATTCAGCTAGTTGGCCACAGACAGAAAGCTGGGACGGCCATTCTAGCACACCAGAGTCTCTTAGCTTAGACGATATGGGTTTGTTATTTCAGGGAAGTGACCGCAGGAATGTTTCCAACAGAGTCCCATCTAAACAGAGGTATTCAGGGTAGAGGGCATTCTCTACACATTCTGACAGGTCGAGGGTCCTCTGCCTCCTCTCCTCTGTTTCCTGGACCAGCACTGTGGTGGTCTGAATGAGACTTGCTCCCATTGCTCACATGTTTGGATGCTTGGTCCCAACTAGTGAAATTGTTTGGGAAGGATTAGGAGGTGTGGCAGGCTGGTTACCTTTTTTGAGACAAGATCTCGTATAGCCCAAGATGGCCACAGACTTGCTATGTAGGCAAAGACGACAGTTAATCCTCCTGCCTGTGTCTCCTCAGTGCTAGGATTACAGGCATGTGCCACCATGCCCAGTTTAATGCAGAGCTAGAGATCAAACCTAGGGCTTTGTGCATACTGGGCAAGTACTCTACTCCTGAGCTACATCCCAACCCCAAAGCAGCTCATCCTGAGAAAGCAGCTCAGAGACATTGCATGCCTCACTTGAAAACAATACTCAAAATCTGTTTTATCTGCTTCAACAAGTAAAAGTCAAGCCTTGGCAATGCCAGAGACCAAAGCCCTGTCTGGGCATTTTCTAGAGAATCACTGACACTTACCATGCAATACCTTGGCACTGCCCTCCAAGCTCAGCCTGAAGTTGTTTACACTTTCAGGCCCCACGCCCTTGGAGTTCTGGCAAGGAGCACCGCCCCACCCTGTCCACTCATATAGGGTCCACAGGGCCTCCCTCCAACATCCAACCAGATGGGGCAACCATATTTCTCCAAATGACCAGGACCAATGCAGGGCTGGAAACAGTAAGTGGTGGTCACTGCAGGCTCCTTTCTGGCTTCCTATTTCTGGGAATTGAGTCTTAGAACAGGCTTCAAGCATCTAGATCCAAATGCTTCCAGCTGGAAGAAGCTGGAAGTCAAAATAGCAGATGCAAACTCAAGAAAGAGTTGATCACCCAAAGAGGATCATCTGAGACACACCACTCAATACACACACTCAAAACAACAAACAGCAGCCCTGCTTGTCTGGCGGTCTGCCGTGGTCTGCCACTGTCCCCACTTCTTCCCTGTTCACTATCTTCCACATCTGTCCTCCTCCCCCATCCTTGATGAAGCCAATCAGCTCTCTCTTTCCCCCAAGAGCTTTTCAGAGCCCAGGCTGACAATACTCCTCATACCAGGAATCTATTTTAGGCTTTCTTGGAGGTTCTACCACTGGAGATTTAGGACATCCTCAAAATCAGAGGCCCAGGACAGTGTTTAAAAAACAAACAAACAAAGAAACAGGGGCTGGAGAGATGTCTCTACTGGTTAAGTCTGCTGCGCAATCCTAGGACTGAGCTCAATCCCAGGATCCAGTGCAGGGTGACCTGTAATCTCAGTGATGGGGAGGTGGAAGCAGAAGGACCCCTGGGGCATGTTGGACAGCCAATCTAGCCTAATCACTGAGCTCCAGATTAAACAGGAGACCCAGTCTCAAAATAAAAGGTTGGAAGCCAGACATGGTGTCCCAGTCCTTTAAGCCTAGCACTGGAGAAGCAGGGGCATGCAGATCCCTATGAGATGAAGGCCACCTGGCCTGCATAGTGAATTCCAGGCCAGCTAAGGCTACATAGTGAGACACTATCTCAAAATAATAACAACAACAACAACAATAATAATAATAATAATAAATGAGGTTGGAAAGTGGTTGTAAAAGATACCTGATAGTGACCCTTGGCCTCCACAGGCATGTGCACAGCCACATGCACAAACATATGTATATAAACATGTACACACACAAATACAACCAGAACAAAATGAGGTCTAAACTACGGTGCAGGGATGAAGCTTGCATCTTCTTATATTGCCAGTTTCTAGTAGCTTTCATGAGTGAATACTGAGATATCCAAACAGGCTTCTCACCGTGCTGACCTGAAAGTGACCTCCTTCCTTGATTTTCAATTCTAGAGGGTCTCACTTCACAGCAGTCCTGACCTTTCTCTTAGGTTTGGTCCACGACAGGATCCCAAATGACAGCATAGTCCAGAACATGACTGAGAATAAGTGGCTTAGAGAACAGAGGTCTAGCCTGTGACACTGACAATGGCGACCCTGTCATAGAAGGCAGCAGATAGACCAGAGGAAATCTAAAAATCCTGACCTTGAGCCAGGCGCTGAAGCTAATGCTCCTCCGTGCAGAGTCACACGGTCCCTCTGTGTTAGCTGCTCCCAGGTAGGTTTGAGATACTCTGCTGGGGCGTCTTTGGGCATCTTGTTTCAGCCTTGACCCTCAAAGGCTGTCCCAGCAGGGAGAGTACCCCTAGCCCTCCTGGAGCACTCCCAACCTTGCCATCCTCACACACTTTCCTTCCCACCTGCCACCAGAAGTGGGGCTCTCGCCCACTGGTCTCCTCAGCCCGAAGTTACCACAACAGATGTGGCGCGTTCTCGATTAGCTGCTTCTTCCGCTTGACAGTGGGTGCACTCTCTTCTTCTTCTTCTTCTTCTTCTTCTTCTTCTTCTTCTTCTTCTTC